TTTAAATACCAGTAAAAATAAAAACCTGGCTTAAAAATCTGGCATAAGCATGTACCAGATTATACAACTAATGTTTGCATTGTTGAAACACATATACATGTTAAAAGAAAATAAAAATAAAAAACATTGGTCTGAGTTCTTCACTTCCTGTTGGAGCTGGCCGTGCCGATCACACAGTCATTCACCTGTAAGGACAGAAAACCACAGGAGTCACGCTTCAGAGAAATGTTTAAAAACAAATTAATAATAATAATTTAAACTCCAGACGTCACTGACCTTACTGGCAAACCTGAGAGAGTTTAAAGTTTCTCCGAAGCTGTCTGACTCTGGAGAAATGTTCACAAACATGAGGCTGGAGACAAAAAACAAACAATTAATGACGTTTATTCCATTATTTTCCTCTATAAAAGGAAAACCATAAGAAAGTTTCTGCACAATTATGTTTAAAAAAAACTCACGTTTTGCTATTTCCTCCTAAACATTCTTGCAGGAGATATGTCAGTTTTGAGTTCCTGTAAGGAACGTGGCTCTCCTGGAACAAAGCACAGGTCAACATGTTAKCAGATCCTCCAGGAAGCTAAAAGCTGCAGAACATCTGACCTGAGCTCTTTAAGCTGACTCACCTTGTTAGCCAGAGCAGCGATGACGATGCCGAGGGTGGAGAGGGAGCTGTTGATGGAGGTCATCTCYTTGAAGCGTTCACCCTGAGACTGGCTCTTTACCATCCTTTCGCTGCCTGCCAGGTCAACCAGGCACAGAATGGCTGAAGAGGAGGAAAACTAATTATTTAAGCTGATAGGGCTAACACTAAAGTGGAAACAAACCTCAACACTCACACTTGCATTTGATGCCCCGCCCAGCGTTCGCTCCCTCGATCTGCAGCTGGAACACAGAGTGGGAGCGAGACGAGCGGTCGTTCTGGGCCGTCTGAGCGGTGGCTCGGTTCTGCTTGGCCACAGCGATGAGATCGAAAACCTGTCAGGAGGCAGGAAAACAAGAGTGTTTAGAGATGTAAAGCAGATAACAAAAGGAAACACAATAAGATTGTGGAATATTCTGTAAAGTAATTATAAAAATGCTGGCTCAATAAATTTATTTAAGAGAATGATAAGTTATATTGTTAAAGGGATCCCCGATTAGTTGTAACATTAGACTTTATTTTACAATTGATATGTTTATCAACTAAAGACTGTAAAAATACTGTAGGATGTTTAGTTATGTAAAATTTAAAAATATATATTTT